CTATCAAAGAAACTAAATAACCTATCAGTCAACTCTCCAAGCAAGAACATTCAACCTTTACATATATACCCCTCCGAAAATTGCTTTGTGTAACAATATATGTAGAGGTTAGGCGATTGTAGAGTCCGATGGAAAGGTTTGGAGAGACGATGATGGTTGATCCTTTAGTAGGATGGGAGCCCGGGACACTATTTATCTTTAATAAACTCAAAAGTCAAGCTAGAAGATCAACCAAATGAATTGATGTTAAGTGATAGACCGTTAATTGCACATGTTTTTACCCCAATTCTTACACCGTTTGAGATGTGGATTCTCGTGTTTTAGGCCGATTTCATGCTAGGTTGTGCTTGTTTGTGATATTTCAGGTCCTTGTACGTGAATGAAGGCCTGGGAGCGAGTTTGGGGTCGATTGGACGAAGATCGGACGTGTGGCGAGGCGCTGAGGAGGCCATACGGGCACTCCTAAAACCCACACGGCCGTGCAAGTCACCAACGTGGCCATGTGGTATTTACCGAGCACACACACGGGCACCCTTGGAATTCCACACGGCCGTGTGGGAAGCTTGAAGTTCAATTATTCGAGACGCAGCGTTTTGGAACTCACACGGGCATCTGGGTAAGCCACACGGCTGTGTGGCCTGGCCGTGTGAGTCGGGAATTTCTGGGTTTTAACCCAATTTCGAGCCACAAGTGAGAGAATCGACATTTTGGAGCAAAAACAGAGCCCTAGAGAGAGAAAGTGCGAAGAACTCATCCTAAGAGTCATTTTGGAGCTGGGTTTCATCAAATCAAGCTTGGAGATCATCATAGGAGTGAAAATCATCATCCCAGAGCAGATTCTTCCCATTGTTATGAGTATGACTGCTTTGTATTCTGTTTTCCCCTCTCTCTCTATGGAGTAGAACTCTCTCTCACTTGGGTATGAAGAAACCTAGTTCCATGTGTTAGGGATTTTGATTGTAATGACTTGGGATTGTTATACTGTTTGATTATAATCGAATGATGCATGATTCATTGAATTAATTGAAGTCTGATAAGCTTTTCTTGATTTCTGCAGCAACCTGAGATAGATAGAATCTGATTAGGTTGTTAGAGCTTCATCATTCGGTAGTAGTGGATTGGTTATACGAGAGTTAGTCAATCTACTGCTTTGTACTGGAATCCAATTCCAGTAGTGGAGTTCTGTGTTCATAGCATCAGCTTTCTATTCCGGTGAAGACTAGTCGTCTGCCGGGTAGTTTGACTGAGAGGGCTTGGTCAGCTTAAGAGATTTGAAGCTACTGTCGGATCTTCCGCAGTTTAATCAACAGTAAATCAACCCAGGGTAATTACAATTGAGACCTAACTAAGGAGCTAGGGGGACTCATTCCCGAGTGACTCTTCCTTGACTTCAGAAAACCGAACCATTTCCTGCTTTCTTACTGCTTTTACTTTAAACAACCATCACTCGACTTCGTTTGCTAGATAATAGATAATCACGGAGTAGGCAGTAGATCTACACCCAGGGTTGATAATAGAACTTGCTACTTTACTGCATTCCCAGACTGCGATTATACTTGGTCGCAGTTTGGTGTTGTGTTTTAGCGTGTAATTTAGAGATCACACATTACCGTCAAAGAAACTGAATAACCCACCAGCCAGCTCTCCAAGCAAGAACACACATTCTTTCCATATTTACCCCTCCGAAAATTGCTTTGCGTAACAATACATGTGTAGGAGGTTAGGTAGTTGTCGAGTCCGATGGGAAGGTTTGGAGAGACGACGATGATTGAGCGTTTAGTACGTAGGTCAGGACACCATTTAGACTTATTTACATTAGTTGCGGCTTTTCAATCCGCATTCGACAAACCAACATCACTTAATCTTTTCATATTTACCCCTCTCTTAAAGACACATGTGCCACATATTCACTCAAAACTTCTACGTTCAAAAATATTGAAATTTTTTGGTAGTTATATTATTTAAGTCTATGTCAAGAATTCTGCATCGCTTCTACACATTCAATACTGCAATTCGATCTGCAATATTTGCACCAATGACATTAGGCTTGCGATTTTAAAATTATTTTCCTTTTATAAGATAAAGAGAAATAGAATTAATTGTTAAACTCGAATTAAAATAATAAAAGTATGAAAATAGAAGTAACAAATACCAAAAAAATATTTAGGGGAGAGTTAGTGGCTTAGCTAACTGTGATGGAAAATTCCAATGATTTTTCAGATTTAACCTTCCTGTATGTTTTTAATTTAAAAATATTTAAAAAATTTGTTTAGTGTAACTGGTTATGTTTCTTGTCTTTTCTCAAAGAGATCAAAATTTAAATCCCATCACTTATGTATTTTTCCTGTGAATAAAAAAATAATAAATGACTGTGAAGACGAATCTATTTTTCCTACTTTTGCTATGAATGCAAGAACTTTGTATAGGAGGAAGCACATTTCACATTTCACTCTTATATTAGGTGTAGCGAAAGTGACCTAATGGTTGAGTGTTTAGTGGGTCGGACACTATTTGAGCCCGTTTACATTAGTAAGTAGTAACACATTTTTCATTTGCGTTGGAAAAACCAACAACACTCAATCTTTCCATATTTACCCCTCCAAAAATTGCTCTAACCTAACAATAGAGGTAGAGGAGGTTAGCCGGTTGTTGAGTCTAATGTGAACTTTGGAGAGACAGCGATGGTTGAGTGTTTAGTGGGTCATACACTATTTAGGCCCGTTTACATTAGTAATATCTTTTCCATCCGCGTTTGGCAATCCAACATCACTCAACCTTTCCATATTTACCTCTCTCTTAAAGACACATTTGCCCCATATTCACCCAAAAGTTCTGTGTTCAAAAATATTGTTGCTTTTTGGTAGTTATATTATTTAAGTCTATGTCAAGAATTCTGCATCGCTTCTACACATTCAATACTTCAATTCGATGTGCAATATTTGCACCAATGACATTGGGCTTGCGATTTTAAAATTATTCTCCTTTTATAATATAAAGAGAAATAGAATTAATTGTTAAACTCGAATTATAATAATAAAAGTATGAAAATAGAAGTAACAAATACCAAAAAAATATTTAGGGGAGAGTTAGTGGCTTAGCTATATGTGCTGGAAAATTCCAATGATTTTTCAGATTTAAGCTTCCTGTATGTTTTTAATTTAAAAAGTTTAAACAAATTTGTTTAGTATAACTGGTTATATTTCTTGTCTTTTCTCAAAGAGATCTAAATTTAAATCCCATCACTTCTGTATTTATCCTGTGAATAAGAAAATAATAAATGACTATGAAGACGAATCTACCCTTCCTACTTTTGCTATGGATGCAAGGATTTTGTAATGGGGGAAGCGCATTTTCCATTTCACTCTTATATTAGGTGTAACGAAAGTAACCTTGTGGTTGAGTGTTTAGTGGGTAGGACACTATTTGGGTCAGTTTACATTAGTAAGTAGTAACACATTATCCATTTGTGTTAGACAAACCAACTACACACAATCTTTCCATATTTACCCCTCCAAAAATTGCTCTAGCTTAACAATAGAGGTAGAGGAGGTTAGCCGGTTGTTGAGTGTGATGAGAAGTTTGGAGAGATGGCGATGGTTGAGCGTTTAGTGGGTCGGGGCACTATTTGTGCCGGTTTACATTAGTAATGTCTTTTCAATCCGCATTCGACAGACAAACATCACTTAACCTTTCCATATTTACCCCTCCCTTAAAGACACATGTGCCACATATTCACTCAAAACTTCTATGTTCAAAAATATTATTGATTTTTTGTAGTTATATTATTTAAGTCTATGTCAAGAATTCTGCATCGCTTCTACACATTCAATACCGCAATTCGATGTGCAATATTTGCACCAATGACATTAGGCTTGCGATTTTAAAATTATTCTCTTTTTATAAGATAACGAGGAATAGAATTAACTGTTAAAATCAAATAAAAATAATAAAAGTACCAAAAAATATTTAGGGGGGAGTTAGTGGCTTAGCTAATTGTGATGGAAAATTCCAATGATTTTTCAGATTTAAGCTTTCTGTATGTTTTTAATTTAAAAAGTTTAAACAAATTTGTTTAGTGTAACTGGTTATGTTTCTTGTCTTTTCTCAAAGAGATCAAAATTCAAATCCCATCACTTATGTATTTTTCCTGTGAATAAAAAAAATAATAAATGACTGTGAAGAAGAATCTACCCTTCCTACTTTTGCTATGGATGCAAGGATTTTGTAACGGGGAAAACACATTTCCCATTTCCCTCTTATATTAGGTGTAGCGAATGTAACCTGGTGGTTGAGTGTTTAGTGGGTCGGACACTATTTGGGCCCGTTTACATTAGTAAGTAGTAACACATTTTCCATTTGCGTTGGGCAAACCAACAACACTCAATCTTTCCATATTTACCCCTCCAAAAATTGCTCTAGCTTAACAATAGAGGTAGAGGAGGTTAGCCGGTTGTTGAGTCTGATGAGAAGTTTGAAGAGACGACGATAGTTGAGCGTTTAGTGGGTCGGGGCACTATTTGTTTAAAATAGAATTATTTATGTCTCTAATTTTCCTATTCTCCATGAGATAATTTCAATTGTTATATATCATAGCTATTTCATCAAAATTTTCTTGCATTATCTTTTTAATACATATGGGATTTTTTAAACACAAACAATACTTTAACAATCAATATAAATCTCTCTAATGTATATATACATGAGAATAGTAATGAATGGCTAATACTAATATTAAGGGTTAATACCTTAGTTTGGCCCGAACTATACACATACTTTCTACTTTGGCCCGAATTATTGAATATTGCTACTAGGGCCTGAACTATGTAGCAAACTTCCTCCTTTGGCCTGGAGGCGGGTTTGACCGTCAAATTAGACGGTCAAACCTGTTGACCGTTAGTCAACGTACACCTCACCTGCCACGTCAGATTGGAGAAACATAAAAAATTAATTTTTTTTTCTTTCGATTAATAACATTAATAATATAATTCTTATACAAAAAAAACTAAGAAATCAAATAAAAGAACGAAAAAAATGGCCGCCTCCACCTTCCTCGCCGTCGACGCATCCTCCAAACTATCCAATCCAGTTGTTAGAGCATCGCCAACCGCCGCCGGCAAGACTACTTTCCTCCAGCTGCCGCTCAAGCTCCGCAACCCTGGATCCCTCAAGCACGCTTCCTCCTTCGCCGGAAGCAGGAGATCCTTCTCTTGCACTAGCCAGGCCGCTTCCTCCGACGACGCCAGACCTCCATGTAACTACTCTCTCTCTCTCTCTCTCTCTCTCTCTCTCTTCCTGCTCTGTCAATTCAGATTTCTTTTTTATTTTTATTAATTTCGATTTTGATTTTTTGCAGCCAAAGTTCAGGAGCTCCACGTCTACGAGATGAACGAGCGAGATCGAGGGAGCCCCGCCGTCCTCCGATTGAGCCAGAAGCCGACCAATTCCTTCGGCGATCTCGTCCCTTTCAGCAACAAAGTCGATCTCCGGAGTTCTCTTCCTTCATCTCCTCCCTAAAACAGACGGCTGTCGCTCCCGGCAGCGGTAGCATTGGACGCGGGAGCGGGATGGGCGTCGCTGCGGAGGGACCGCGATTGGAAAAGCCTGCACCTAGGGCGCCAGGGAGAGGCTCTGTTCCTCCGGCGAAGGAGAGTTATCTGCCCTCCAGTTTGAGGTCGTCCGAGTTTCGGCGCCAGGGAGAGGCTGATGGTGATGTTGACGATAGAGCTGGAGCTGGCGAGCAGAGTCAGAGAAAGGGGATAAGGGAAGTGCAGGGGTGAGATAATTTTGGCCTTTTTCTTTTCTTTTTTGGTTCTTTTAATTGACTTTTTAGGGTTTTTTTGTATAAGAATTATTATTAATTTTATTAATCGAAAGGAAAAAAATAAAAAAAATTAATTTTTATGTTTCTCCAATCTGACGTGGCAGGTGAGGTGTACGTTGACTAACGGTCAACAGGTTTGACCGTCTAATTTGACGGTCAAACCCGCCTCCAGGCCAAAGGAGGAAGTTTGCTGCATAGTTCAGGCCCTAGTAGCAATATTCAATAATTCGGGCCAAAGTAGAAAGTATGTGTATAGTTCGGGCCAAACTAAGGTATTAACCCTAATATTAATTAGTATAATTAAACACATTATCATACTTATAATCAGTTAATTATACACTACAAATACAATCTACAATATATGATTAGATTAAACTAACAAATTCAGGTTGAGGCCCCTAATAATCGGAGGCCTTGTGCCAGAGGTCCGCTTGACACACCCTCTTGATCGGACCTGGGTAACCTCCACCCACTTCGTGGAGGAGTTCTTACTCGCGAGAAGGTCTCATTCTGCTTCTTTGTCGAGAATGTTGTAGCAGAGAACCTTGAGCCAGGTCGTCCCTATTTTGCGGACTGTTGCCAAGAGGATGTCGTTGCTTCTCGGCTGGAATCGTGATAAGAAGGCGACCATGTTGTCCTAAAAAATAACCGGGTACTAGAAGCCATCAATATATATGGCTTATCTCGTGAGAGTTCCAAAACAACTCCATCGCAGAATGATGATTCCTCACACAGCTTTAATCATTTGGATGACCCCAAAAGCTGTGTCCGGTATGCAGTGGCGGACCCAAGAAATTTACATAGGGGTGTCCTCTACTCCTCTTTCAAAAAATAAATAATAATAAAAATAATAATTAATATATATTGAATAATTCTTAAATAAGAAAATAGCCAACTCGTACAAGTTAAAAAATTTCATAAGTATTTTTATATTCTGAAAAAATTGTAAAATACACTTGGTGTCTACATTGCTCAACAAAGTTGTCTCGGTATATCCTATTAGACAATCATTCACGAAAAAATGCATATTCGACTTCTAAATTTGTTCTTGATATAACTCAAAGTTGAAAAGACACTTTCAACACTTGTTGTACACCCATAAATTAAGGGTAGCTTGTAATTAGATTAATTGTTAGGTTTTGAAAATAATTAAAGATAGAGACAGGGGTTTTTGAAGGAACTATGATTCTACGGTAACTTGTGATTAACGTAGCCAGATAGATTAGAAAGAGATTTCGGAATTGATAGAAATAATTAGGGATTTGATAAGAATAATTGGGAAATTGAGATAGGAAGAATAGAATTGGGAATTAGGGATTAGGAGAAGAAGAGCGATAAACTGAATAGGGTTTGATTACTTATTTCTGACTAAATCCAACGTAATGACTCAAATACATATTTATAGGGGAATAACAAAAACCTAATGATACCCTACTAATCTACTTGGCACTAATCGGCTGCCTAACCCCCTAACCACCCCAATATTTATGTTTCCTACAATTTTGCTATTACACAGTGTTTAGAATAGAACCACAAAAAAGTTTTTAGCCTAATGAAAATTATATTTATTAATAGTACTAGTGTCCCGGGTTTGAATTACCAAAACTACCACTTATATTCCCATGCGCAAACTACAAACGAGAGTAGTATAATGATTTTTTTCAAATTTTAGGGTGCCCCGAACTATTAATTATAATTTTTTTTCCTATACGTAAATTACAACCGGAAGTTGGATAATCGTTTTTTCAAAATTTAAGGGTGTCCCGGGTCACCCTAAACTTCCCTAAGTCCGCCCCTGCCTGTATGATGAATCCAATGAAATTTTCATATGGAGATAGACAAAAGTGACCATCCTATAATTAATTTTTTTTTTTTGATAACTTACAGTACCATTTTCTAAAATGTATGGCCACTTTGTTCAAATGTCAGAAGCTATTTTTGAATCAATCACCTACACTTACCATATTCATAACTAGCTTTCACAATTTGGGTCGGTCACATGACGACGAACACATGCACCTGGGAAGGTCACCTTTTGTGTTGGCTAGCTACTTCTTTAAGGAAGAAAATAAAACCCTGTCGGGGAATCCAAATTTGTGACATAGTATTTCATTAGTAAATTGGTCTGCCAAAAGCCCAAAACACAGACTCCTCTGTTCTAATTTGGACATAAAACAGACCTGCTCTGCATCTCTCCTATAGCAAAGCTAACAATTACACAGATATGGACAGTGCGGAGACGATGAACAAACTTCCACCACAGGAGGTGTTTTGGAATGCCACCGCGATTCACCAGATAGAAGGATTCTGGTTCATGGAGGAGTATCTGGAATCCATGGCAGCATTCAGGTCAGAATTCCAGCCGCGAAACGACGACATTCTCTTGACCTCCTTCCCCAAAACAGGAACAACCTGGCTCATGGCTCTCTGCCAGAACATCCTCAATCTGGAAGAAGACGAAGAAGAAGACATTCTGACAGAGAAGAACCCGCACGACGTCGTTCCCACGCTGGACGGCGCTTACCTTGCGGATCAAGTCCAAAATATTCTGCTCCATTCAGGCCGCCGAACCACCAGCCGATTGCTCCACACACATTTGCCTTACAGTTGCCTGCCGGAGGCCGTGAGGAACTCCGGGTGCAAGCTCGTGCACTTGGCCCGGAATCCAAAGGACACGCTGGTATCGATGTGGCATTTCTACAACAAGATATTGAGACGCGAACCCACGAGCGACCCGTTCCCAATTGAGAGGGCTGTGGAGAGCTTTTGCGGTGGAGTTATCCCTTGGGGGCCTTTTTACGAACACGTGGTGGGCTATTGGGAAGAGAGCAGGAAGCGGCCGGACGAGGTGTTGTTTCTCAAGTACGAGGAGCTGTGCAGAGACCCCAAAGACCAGGTGAGGAAGCTTGCTACTTTTCTGGGGAAGTCGTTTTGCCCGACGAAGAATGGAGATAATGATGATGATGATGATGATGTGGTGGTGGAGAAAGTGGTGCGGCGTAGCAGCTTGGGTAGGCTCAAAGAGTTGGAGGTTAACAAGAATGGCGTATTGGAGATAGTTCCAATACCAAATGCCCATTTCTTCAGGAAAGGAACTGTGGGGGATTGGAAGAGCTGCTTGACTCCTCAGATGGCTAAACGCATCGACCACCTCACACAGTTCAAGTTGCGGGGAACCGGGCTCTCTCTTGACGATTTCTAATGTATGATATTAGCTACTGGCATACTGCATGTGGCTTTTGTTGGTTACAGTCTTGTGTTAAGTCTATTTTGTATGTGTTTCATTGGATGTGGTGTCCCGTTTGTGTGTTGTGGTTTCTGTTGAATGATTCAGATTTGTCCAAATAAATGTGGTAGAATTCATGCATACAAGTTTGTACTTTGTAGCTAATACTTCGAAATTCACCTAGGGTGCGTTTGGATACAAGGATTTGGATTTGGTATTTGTGATTTGGATTTTCAAATACCAAATCATGTGTTTGGATATTAATTACATTTGGTATTTGGATTTGTGTCAAATTCATGGGGTGATTTCCAAATACATGTCTAGTGTATTTTTTGTCAACTTCAAATACATTTCAACAACTAGTGATTTGAAATACCTCCTAACAAAAGAATGGACCTATTTGTAAAATATGAAAAGTTTAGGTACTATAGTGTGAGGCAAAACATATAAAGGTACCAAAATGTAATTTTACCATCAAAATTTCAGGACCTTTTTGTAAAATTTTAAAAGTTTAGGTACTAAATTGTAAGAAAAAATAATTTTGGGTACCAAACTGTAATTTACCAAAATTTGTAGTAAGTGACCAGAAAAATAAAAATTGAAATTGAAAATCATAAATACAAAAATACAAACAAATTACAAATGAGTATCCAAACAATAAATTTGAATTACATGTATTTCAAATGCTAATACTTCAAATACATCCATTTCAAATGCTAGTATTTCAAATATCTTATATTTAAAATACACTTATCCAAACGCACCCCTAGACTAGTAAAATTTAATATATAACTTGTAAAATTTAAAATGTTAACATAATATATACTTCGAAATTTACATTTTATGTGCCCAAGACTTATTTAAAGGATGACATTGGTAACTAAAATTGTCTAAAAAGTCGATGTCACTTGCATCCACGAATTAAATCCATTAATCCAGTTAACCCATCCCATAATTCCTTCCAATCCATGAACAATCTTATTAAAGTCTAGATATATTAAGGCAAAAGAAAGCACAAAGGTCATACTAAATTGAAGCAAAAAACGAAAAAGTAGTAGAAAATCGCATCAACTAATTAGTTTAGCAATTAATCATCAAGAGAAAGCCCAGTCCCCTGCAATTTAGACTCTGTGAGATGGTCAATGCGTTGAGCCATCTGGGAAGTCAAGTGATTCTTCCAATCCCCCACGGTTCCTCTCCTGAAGAAGGTGGCATTGGGCACATGGTTCAGCTCACCGACACCACTCTTGTTAACCTCCAATTCCTTCAACCTATCCAAGCTGCTCCGCCACAACACCTTCTCCACCTCCCCATCCCCATCCAGTTGGGAAAATGACTTCCCGAGAAACGAAGCCAGCTTCTTGACCTGCTCCTTAGACTCTCTCCACAAATCTTCATACTTGAGAAACAACACCTCCTCGGGCCGCCTCCAACTCTCCTCCCAGTAGCCCACCACATGTTCGTAAAAAGGCCCGAAAGGCAGGACCCCGCTGCAGAAGCTCTCCACCGCTCCTTCCAACGGGAACGGCTCGGGACCGCCGCGTGTGAGCAGCTTGTTGTAGAAATGCCACATCGACACCACCGTGTCCTTGGGGTTCCGAGCCAGATACACGAACTTGCACCCAGACTCCCTCACCACCTCTGGCAAGCAGCTGTAAGCCAGATGAGTGTGGAGCAACCGGGGAGGAGGGGAATCGAGCAGCATATGTTGTACTTGGTCTTTGAGGAAAGTGTTTTCGAGGGTGGGAACCACCTCGTGGGGGTTCTTCTTCGCCAGAAGGTCTTCTCCTGCTTCTTTGTCAAGGATGTTGTAGCAGAGCGCCTTGAGCCTTCCGGTTTTGGTGAAGGACGTCAAGAGAACGTCGTCGTTTCTCGGCTCGAATCCTGACATGAATGCGGCGGTGCCGTGCCATTCATTGCCTCCACGAAATACCAGAAGCCATCTATCTTCCCGATCTCGTGTGAGTTCCAAAACAGCTCCTTTGGAATCGGCTGATTGTCCATCGGAAAATGGGATCTAGGGAGGCTTGTATGTTTTGAAGGAAAAAGTACTGTCACTGCACAGGCAAGGAAAAAGTGCAACACAGCAGATAACAATGTCACGCGGGAATATAAAGACTTGGCGAATGGCGATTCCTTAATTGTCGAAAAGCACTATGGTCCGCTCATTGTGTCATTGTACTTGGAACTTGGAAGTTGGAACCTCGTGCTTTTCCACCGCCCGTTGTTTCTTGTAATCTTGTTCTTTAGCGGGTCCAAGTTTTTTAAGAGGTGGGTGGCAACTTTTCGAGCTCCTTTTTCTAGTGCTTCATTTAATAATCTACAATCTCTTTGGAAACCATTACTCGTGTAACATTAGTTAGTTTTTTTTAAATATAATCTTCTAGAAACCACAACTCGTGTAACATTAGTTATTATTAGAATATAAATATGAGATGAATTACTTGGTATTTCTTTTGCATATGCGATAGTCCTATACAAAGGTTAAAGGTAGAGAATGTGTTCATGTCTTAGGTGAGTTTAGAGTATCAACTTTTGAATTGAGAAGCGTATTTCTTGTAAAAAAAGGATAAATACTATTTTTGAGTCAAAATTTTCAGTTTTCATGAATTGTAAAATATTAGTCAAATCTTTCAAAATATAAAATATTAGCTATTCTTTCAAATTTTTTGAGTTAAGTGAATTATTTTATGAGTAATTTCTTTTTTTTTATGTTTGTGATTGAGATTGATTTTTATCGGTATTTGATATTCGAGATATGCCACTTAAATTGTTTTTAAAATAAGACCTAACATATCCTATAATGAACCCTCCCACACCTCACCAAATCCCTTAAACAAACTTACACTGTTAATATACTACTAGAAAATTGGCCCGCGCTCTGCACCGGGTATTCCAAAATAAATCTACCAATTATGAGTGAAAAATAATAATTTTAAATCAAGGTGAAGGTCGTTTGTGGTCGAAAAGGAATCATGTATTAACTTGAAGCGGGTGCGAATAGGACCATAACCATTTATTTGATCTCTTTAGCCTTCATGCACTTGTATATAATTTCGAAGTAGATAGTTGGATTTTCAATTATACTATATGGTTTTGGATGGAGTAACTGAATGTATGATAATTGAGCGTGATATTCCCTAATCTTATGAAGAGGCAAGAAAATAATTTTATGATGAAGAATAAATGAAACTTTACAACGTGTGTTATGAATATTATTATCTTCCACGATAAATATTGTTATCGAATCATAATAATGGTTCAACCCTTGAAATTTCAAAAAGAATTTTGAAATAGTGCTATGTTCGAATTGAGTAACTCACAATTTTACATATAGTTTCCTATATGGATTATAGTAGACTGATACAATAATGACTTATTCTGAAAAAATTTAATTTTGACAAAGAATCTTCTTTGAAGCACACTATCTAATTATTATGTAATTACATGATCCTTCCTTATCAAACATAGTAACATCATACATTTTTTCCACTATGTGAATTTTATGTTATACTAACACACAAACATACCAAGCTTGACGAAATAATTGAAATGAGTGGGACCTATTGTTAGTGTTGTGATATATGATCCACGATTGAATCTCTCCCAATAACTCGAGTTATTGGGAGCAACTGGTTCTTGACATGGTATCAGAGCCTGTTGTGACCGAGAGGTCTTGTGTTCGATTCCCGGTGACCCCCATTTGTTAAGCACATGGTATTCTTGTCTTCAGACCTGTGCAAACTTCAAGCCCTTGTGAGTGGCTTTCGTTTGAGGGGACGTGTTAGTGTTGTGGTATATAATCCACGATTGAATCTCTCCCAACAACTCGAAAATGTGGTTAGGTATATGATGGATTTTAACAAATCAAACAAATGATAAAAGGAGATCATGAGGCCAATAGAGATGAACATGTGGCATGTTTTCATTTTAAACGTAACCATGTGTCAACCATGCAAAAGAGTGATTTGCATGAAATGTGTAATTGGAGAGTAATTGAGTCAATCTTGTTTAGATGAAATAAGAGTAAGATCAATCTTGTTTTTTCCCTTAAAAAATCAGTCTTATTTAGAAGCTGCTGGGAGTGTGGGGTGGAGGGCGTATAGGTGGAAAGGAATTGAGCTCCCACATCTCACGCTTGGAGAATTGAGGAGCTGGCGAGCTTTCTTGAGACATGCACATGTCGTCTTCCTCTCCACAATTCTTCAGTCCCTAATCAGAATCCCCTGTAATTTCAGAGGTGATATGTGGTTGGCACTAAAAATCAAACAATGCCTAAGCAATTCCAGCGAGATCGCCTGATACTGGTCGATTTGCAATCCCCCAATGTCAACAATTGGAGTCGAGGATCAGAAGGATCTTGAAAAGAATATTCATGCAAACAGAGTGGACAATGATCCGGGAGGATTGGCGGCTAGTCCAAAGTATTTGCAGGTGATTTATGTTGAAATCTCCAATTAGAAGATGGGAGGAGTAGCGGCTGTAGAAAATCCGGCGAGAGGATCCAACTTGGCCAATATCCAATGAATCGTCGGAGGGAAGAAACAGGATGGCCAGGCATGGTGACTCGCCAACTTGGCCAATCGCCAGAAAATCGTCGCGGGGAAGATAGGGGGAAGGAACGGTTTATGGGGAATAAAAGGGGTCCATAAATCTTAGTGTGAGCTCGCAAATAGGGTAGTAAACCCCTTAAGTAAACTCGCCTATTAATTATACTAATAATTAGGGCTGGGCATGCGGGCGGATCATCCGCGGGTTTGAGCCGACCCACCCGCATTTGACCCGAATTTCGTTAAGTGGGTGGGTCTGTGGGTGGGTGACGGGTTGCGCTGGGAGCCATCCGCCGGGTGGTGGTGGGTTGTGGGTGAGTGTGCGGGTGACCCGCTCAACCCAACAGAAAAAAGATCAAAGTCGTTGGCGCTAGAGAGAGGAGAGTGGAGACGTTAGATATAAACTCGGACTGCTCTTGGAGTTTG